TATAAATTTATTTATCACACTATTGATGCTAATTACATATTACAGTAGAATTGGCTTGACTGGAATAAAGAAGTCTTATAAAAACTTTGTTTAACTAGAATAAAAGCTTGGAAACCTTGGTTTTTTTTAAAAAAAGCCTTCTTACTATCTAAGAACTTGATTAAGGGATAGAAATATCATAATTTGTGCTCCTTTTATATTCTTAATATTATAACTATTTTCTTTGAAAACTTGCTTAGATGAAGAGTATCTTTTTTATAGAATATTATTTTTAATTACAAATAATATTATAAAAATATATAAATGTAATTAATAAAAGCTTGTTTATATTTTAAAAACTGATATGTTTCATATTAACCATTACCTTAAATAAGTATTTGTGCTACTTAAAATTTAGAATTAAATTAAAATAGATAAAATTTCTCAAAAAATCATAAAAATAAAAGCTCTAAAAGGGTTAAAACAATTAAAAAGAGAGAAAATAAGTCTTTTTATTACAAAAAATCTCTATAAACCTTCTGTTTCAAAGGTTAAAAAAGTCTTCAAATACTTTACAATCAGTTATTTTTCCTTTGAAAACTTTCTTATTATTGATTTCAAAGGTATTACTTAATTATTTTTGGTTATTTTGAGTTACATTTTTGAGTGAAGGGGTTTATAAACAAAAAAGAAAGTATAAAAGTGACTTTTGAAGTCATACTTCAAGTTGTTTTAATAAAAATATTAAGACTTTATTAGCAAAAAAATATAAAAACCTTTTGTAAACATCTTTTTTATATGTAGTCAGAAAATTAGTAAGAAGATTTTTTTTCTTTTATTAATATAAAATATAAAATCTTTTATAAATATTTTTATGTATATAGTAAAGGATTATCAAAAGGAGTTTTTTATTGATATATATTATATACATATTATATATAAATATAATAAAAATAATAAATAAGAAATTTAATTTGTATAATTATTAAATAAATAATATTTCTCTTTTGAAGAAGTTGTAATTTTTTAAAAAAATTTATTTGATTTGGAAAAAAGGATTGTTAACTATATCTAAAGTATTTAATATTTTTATGTATTGTAGCAGGCTGATCAGTGAGTTTGTCGCTAATGACCAAAAGCTTACATAACCTGTGGATAGAAGAATCTGTCCTTCTATTATATACATATAAAACACAAAAATCAAGCATATACATAAAAAGATTTGAGTGAGTTTCAAGACAATTTTCCCTAAAACTACTTATAACTTCACTGTTATAACAATCTATCCAAAAGATTCGTCTTAAGATTTGTCATTTTATTAAGTCATTGGAAGAAGTTATATTTATATATTTTTACACATAGGGCTATTACATAATCACTATGGCTATTCTAGTATTATGTCATGTATAAATTACTTTGTGGGCAACTAATTTTCTATTACCTCAGCTTATAGCTTTTTACCTTTTAGACGTGAATGGGTTGTTCACACATTCTTCTAGCTTGCAAGGGATATAGTGATAGTCAGCAATTGATTGTTTCGCGTAATCTTCGGTCGCATCACGATCGTCGATCACGGGACCACGGCGAAAATTCTGAACTCGGTCTGACTTCTTTGGCCTTTAACAGTATATTATTCGATTTGTAAATAATTTATTATTTTATTTATAAATTTAATTAATATGTTATATATTTTATTATAAATTTTTTTCCAATATAAAATTTTTATATTTATAGAATAAAAAATATTCTTGTAATTTTTAGCAATAAATCCTTTCTAATTAATAATATACAGTATATATTTATTTATTTATAAAAACAATGTTATGGTTTATGGAAAACTAAATTTATTTAATTTTAATAATAATTCTATTAGTTATTTACTTATGTATTTTATATTTTTTGAATAAACTCACTTTTTTAAGACAAAATCTGATCGATTTTATTATAATCCTTTATATTGCTTAAATGGTTTGTTTTAAATATAAAGTTGTAATCTGTATTTATAAAGTATAAAGTATAGACTTAGATTTTTTATCTATATACAGTATTTTTATATAAATAAACTCTTATATTAATATAATTTTATTCTATATTTACTGTATATACTGTATATATTGATAACTGCAATAACCATCTACTTTTTTTTTTGTTAGCAAATATTATGATACGGATTTAGACTCCTTGCTAATAATTCTTCTTGCATGCATAGAAATAGTTGGTAAATGCAATTAATTCAGCTAACCGAGATCCTAATTATTGGTTACATTTTTATGTATCTGGTGAAAGTCATAATACATAATGTTACTAATGTTAATTGTCAGAATCATAAACATTTACTCCCAACTCTTTCAGTTTATTAATTGCCCTATTGTTATTATTCAAAGCCGCCAATTTCATAAATTTTAAGGCAAGTTTATCATCTTTTTGTTGACCAAGTTTTCCGTCAAAGTAGACCTCTCCTAGGTTAAACATGGCGGAATGATTCCCATTTTCAGCAGCAAGATGCAAGTACCTAATGAATTCGGAAATTTTATTTGGATCTGTTTTAAAACCCTCAGTTTTAGCTATAGTAAACGCATAACAGAATTGTGCACTAGCAATTCCATTATCAGCAGCTTCTTTATAGAGTTCAGCAGCTCGATTCGGGTTCTTCTCGACGGAAAGGCCTTTCTCTAAATAGTATCCTTGCCAATACTTTGCATAGAAACTTCCAAGTTGTGCATTCTCTTCAAAACATTTCCAGGCCTTTTCGTATTCTTTATTTTGATGTGCAGTGTTTCCTTCCTCAAGAGTCGAAACTGTCTTAATTGGATGAAAAACTATGTCATCAAGGGTGTATTCCTCATTAAAAGGAGGCAATGGCGTGTTTTCATTTTCATTATTTTCGGATCTAGATCCATTTGAATCAGTGGATTTTTTAGGAAGAAGCCCGGAAGTTCCATCAGGAATAATTTGATTTGAGACCAATCTCTCCAATACCAAAAATAGTTGTGCAATGCTTGTGCGCTCGTATGGATTGTGTTTCCAAGCTTCATAAATATACAGTAATTCAAAAGAATTGTTAACAAGTATGTCATTTGCAATTTACTGTAAAATAGCAATTATCCCAATTACCTTGCCTAATAATATTTTCAAATTCCTGTTGAATTTCCTTATCTTTTGGGCCTGCCAAACCAAAATTAAAATTTTCTCTTCCTCCCATCTTAACATATGTTGCTATCTCATCAAATTGTCGTTTTCCATAAGGAACTGATTCAAAACACAACTCCCACATGAGCATCCCAAAGCTATATGTAATACAATCGTGTGATGACGAATTAGAATAAGTAGGTTAATTTTTTTTTTAAAAAAAAAATTTCTTTCTTTCTTTTTTTTAGAAATTACCTGAATATTTCACATTTCTGAGTATACCCCCCTTTTGCATATCTATCTTGCTCCACATCGGATATTTTTTCTGGTGCTAACCAATTAATAATCTTTAAAATACCAGATTTGATATCCGAGGTCATGTCTACCGTCATGCGCGAATATTCAAAGTTTGCAAGTTTTGGTTCTAAATTTTTGGTGACCTAATAATGATGACAGAACGATTTCAAAAAAATGAATGAATGAATTGGTTCAATTGAATGTTGCACGTACCATTACATTTTCACATCTGATATCGTGATGAAAAATATTGGCACCGTTTAAAAATGTAATACCACGGCAAATATCGAGAGCAAGATGAACCTTTCGATTCCAAGTAATATTATGATTTTCGTAAACTTCCTTTAAGTTTCCTTTCTCGGCCCATTCCAAAACCATGACAGAACGATTATCGATATATGAAATTCCGTAGAATAAAAGAATATTGCGCGACTCATTTATTTTACCCAAAATTGCTAGATGAGCTTGGACAGTTAGATATTCGGGGCTATCATCACTTGGAATGGTAATAGGTTTACAAGCAACTTCTATGCTTTGCTTGTACATTTTTCTAATGACAAATGGATCCTTTCCGCGTTGATCGGTCCCACCCACAACTAATGGGTCAGATAAAAGTGTTGGTTCGATTCTGGGTGCATGAATCTCAGTAGACATTGTTAGACGATTGTTGCTATTTGAGATTTGTGATCTTATAAGCTCTACAGATTGATAAAGTATGTTAACTTTCTGACCTAGACCATCCATTCCGCTTTCGACCTTTTTGGAAAACTGAAGTAAATGAAAAGTTATGAAAAACATATTACAATCAAAATCAGCGAAGAGGTGAATAGATGATGACGAACAGAGAGCATTCATTCAAAAACAATGATATACATACTTCTGTGGTTTCAGCAATATCTGCTTCGAGGCTTTCTTTATCAATTCTCCTTTGCTCATCGCTACTAATTATCATGGTAAAAGACAGATCTTTCATCACAGTATCATAATCACTTATCAAGACATTGAATTTTTCTTTAATAGATCCAGATTTCAAGTATTTTCTGAAGCCATGAAGATTTGTAACGCTTTTAGAGAAATCCTTAATTCGTTGCAAAACCTCTTTAAACCTGACAAATGATTTGTAAAACGCTTGTTTACAGAATAAAGATTCATTTTCATCTTGCCTTCGTTGCAATATCCTTACAGCAAATTCAGCCGCCTCAGCGCGAACAAGTAATGCCTTGCATATTTTTTTGTTGTATTGTGCATCTTCATAAATTTGAATAATTTGACTGACTAGACTAGTTACCGCTGAAATCAAAGGCATATAGGGTTTGATTGCCTCACCAATAACATTAACGGTGCCAAGAGTGCCCTTTGCAAATTCTGCTCCTGTGATAGAAGTCAACTCATAAAGATTATCAGTAACATCAATTGCATTCTTTATAGTGGCTGGAGCAGCAGTGACGGCCGCCTGAAGCTTTTCCATTTAATTGTCGTCAACGCGGGTCGAGTTATGGACAAAGCGTTTACCGTAGACGTAGACGTACAGTATGACGCTTATTACGGTATACGGTAACTAATTTGGTAATTTGTGTATGGTTTTAATCACTGACATGCCATGTAACATCAAGAAACTTTCTCCGAAAATATGCAACCCAATTCATCTGTTGAAGAGTTTAGATCTAATGAATATGGCATATGCACCGAATGCAAAAAATTCAATACATCCTATGGATGGTGTAGAACCTGCGACCCCGTGAAATGGTCACAAGGATGGACGAGTGGAAATGCAGAGATTGACGATTTTATCAAAGATACCCAAATAAAAGCTGATGAGTATCATGAATTTATTGAATGGGTTCCATTCAATAGATTCGAGAATATTGTTAAGATTGGAGAGGGTGGATTTAGTACAGTGTATCGTGCAACTTGGATAGATGGATCCCGAACATTAGGTTGGGATGGTAATTTTTATGAGAAGAATGTACCAACGCGTACTAAACCAATTACCGTGGTACTTAAAACTCTGAGTAAACTCATGAGCACCTCACCTAATTTTTTGCAAGAGGTATTGTCAAATTTATTTTTCATAAAAAATTTGCGGACTCAAATACCTAACGAGTATTTTTTTTTTTTTTTTTTTTTTTTTTTTTTGATTTAATTATTTTAGTTTAAAACTCATCACGATTGTAGAAGGCTTGGGATTAATGTATATGGGTTTACCCAAGATATATCTACTAAAGAATATATGATAATTCTTACGTACGCCGATAAAGGGGACCTTCGAAAATATTTATCTTCAAATTTTCAGAATCTCAAGTGGGAAAATAAATTGACGATACTTTACACATTATCCAAGAGTTTATACTTGATTCATGATTCTGGCTACACACATGGCGATTTTCATAGTGGAAATATATTACAAAAAAGCGATCAAAGTGACGACGAAATCATTTCACCTCCTTCGGCACCAAATGTATCGGAAATACAATGCGGTCCAAGTAACTCAACCACGGATATCATCTCTATCATTGCCGATTTGGGATTATCGACTCCTCGAAATGACGACAAACATAATTTAAATGGGGAGATATATGGCGTATTGCCGTATGTTGCACCAGAAGTTTTGCGCGGACATCCATATACAACAGCTGCAGATGTCTACAGCTTTGGAGTTGTGATGACAGAAGTGTCAACCGGAATACCTCCATTTAGCGATTGTCCTCATGACATTAGTCTTGCGCTCAAAATCTGTAAAGGAGACAGACCAAAATTTGCGGATGGCACTCCAGAATGTTATATGAATTTGGCAAAACAATGTATGGATGATGATCCATCGAAAAGACCACGTATCAAGAGAGTTCAAGCAATAATTTTTAATTGGAAAATTATTATTCAAGGATTGCAGGCACTACAAGCACATATTTCTAACGACAAGTTGAAAGTCAAGGAAGAATTTGAGATTGCCGATAAGATGGTTCCATCTCTCATAACAACTTCACAAAAACATCCACAAGCTGTCTACGTAAGCAAACGTCTTTGCTTATTAGATAAAGATGAAATTCAAATAAAATCCTCTAATGCTACTGGTAAGGCATAAATAATTAATAGCTACTAATTTATGTGATCTTATTTTTAACGTTAATTCTATATTTTAGATTCCCTAGAAGATATGTTGATTTCTGATTTTGATTAACTACCATGAATAATGTTTCTGCAATATTGACTTTTTTTTTACATGGTAACTATATAGAAACAATGATTTTAAATATTAATAAAAAACGATTAGCAAATAGAAAAAAAATAATATAAAACTTCTTTCTAGTTAAAATTTTATTTAATTAAAGTTCAATTAAAAAATAATTGAAAATTTATGAATACTAATATAAATATGAAAAATAATTAAAATTTAAAAAGATAATTGATTAAAAAATAAATTTATTTATCAGATAATTTAATAAAAAAATGACATGGTAAGACTATTATATAATAATACTAAATAAGGCTAAAATATTAGTAAAAATTTTTTTAAATAGATTAATATTTAGACTAAATTGTGAATAATTAATTTTTAATTGATTATAATATTTATATTTATTAAACAATTTAATATATTTTATTTAATCGCATAAATTTTAATAATTAAATCAAATTAAACTAAAATAGTAAATTAAATTATATTTATTATAAATAATAATTTAAAAAATTTTTTATAAACTAAACTATAAATATTTAATTATTTGTTTTTAAATATCATTACTAGATTTATGTTTAATTTTTCTAATAATCAAAAAATATTTATAAATTAATTTTATATTGCTTTAGTTTTATTTAATTTCATATAATTTTAAAATTTTTTTATTTATTATATAATAATTAATTCATATAAAAATAAAACATATAAATCAACTTATTAGTAATTTAATAAAAAAAACTTTAAAAATTCTATTTTTTAAAATAATCTTATTAAAAAAATCCAATATTTTATTCTCAAAAAAAAAAAAATTAAAAAATCTTAATAATTTATTTTAATAATTTATATTCTTGTTTTAGATATATTTTATGAAATATTTTTATAATTAATATTTTAAAAAATAAACTATTGTATAGTAAAAAAAATATTAAAAATAATAAATTTCTTGCATTTAAATTTTTGATTTCTATTTTTTTCAATTTTGAAATTAATTATTCATATAATTTATTTTTACAAAATAATTTAAAATAAATATACTCAATTCAAAGTTATTACTATTACTTTAAATTAATTTTATCAATAAACTCTTTTATTTTTATGCTAATATTATTATTTTATTTTTTAAACTTCTAATTATTATTTTATTTTTTAAACTTATAATTTTAATTACTTTTAATATTTTAAAAAATTTTAATAAATTTTTAATTTAATTAAAAAAAATTATAAGCTTATTATCAAAAAAATAATAAATTTAAAATTATTATAGTATATGACAATAATTAATTTTATCATTTTTAATAAAAATAAACTAATTAGTTAACAAACTATAATTAAATCAAATAAATATTATATAATATCACAAAAAAAAATTAAATAATTTTTCTAATAAATCTTTTATTTTATAAATTGATTAAATAATTAATAAATTAAATATCAAATTAATTAATTTTTTGATAAATAAATTATAAATAATTTTTTAAATTATAACACTTTGATATATAAAACAAAAACAATAATTAAGCTTTTTTTAAATATTAAAAATATATTTTTTATATAGTAAATAAATTAAAATTAATTTTAAAACAAAAATTTTTTATATCTTTATAGATAAAATTAATTGAAAACAAATATTAAGTTTAATATAAATCTATTAAATATAATTATATAGTAATTACTGCAATAAAAATAATAATGCTTTTCAATAAAAATTAATAAAAATATAATAATAATTATTATTATTATTTTCTTTATATCTTTTTCAAAACTCAAAATCTTAATATTAATAAGTAATAGTTTTATTAAAAAATAAAGTCAACTACTTTATTTATTTATTTTTTTTTTAAACCGCAATTGGTATTAGATGCAAGACTTTATTTGGCAATTCGAATTCTATAGTCATTACATCAAATATCTCTACATATGCAGATTAATGCTAACCTATCGTGGCAATTCTAGCTAGACTTACTACCATTAAGAAAGTGGGCTCATCTAGCTAGTGACCGAATAATTAATACACAGTCATAAACAACAATGAATTAGGCTAGTTAGTAAGGGTTCATATAACAATTCTTATTGTACGCCAAGCTAGCCCTATTGATTATACCTGACGGAATATATATACCCGCCAATATTCCCAAATATTATTTGCTCAGACCTCAGAAAGAGGTATGTTACCTTCTTTGTCACCATCTGTGACATCGGATCAGCTCCATTTGACTGATTTTTATTTAAGCGGAGCACCAGATTGGGATATCCTGAGCTAGGGGGGTGGTTTATGCTATAGAGTCTGCCGTGCCAGGGGGAAGTTGTGGGCTTTTATAGAAGTTAGACCAGAAGTCTTTCCTTGTACAACCTTTCCTGCTTCAACCTGTTTTCAGCTTGCGATTATCAGAAAGACCAAAAGTCCCATCTTCATGCAGCCTAACTGAATTTGGTGGAATCCAGATGATTAAGTATGACTTTTACAGGATAACTGATAAATCTGATCAGAAGGTATATTTGATTTTTGATCCTTAAGTGGTATTGAACTACAGACCTTGTAATTGCGACCTGGTAGCACTACCACTGTGCTATTGACCCACAGGTCCAAAGAGTCAACTATTTTATAAATTCTATTAAATCAAAATTAAATTATAAAAATATTTTTAACTCTAGTAAAAAAAAAATTAAAAATAAGTTATTTAAATTTTTAATATTTTTAATTAATATTAATATTAAATTGTTGTATTTTATTCTAATTTTAACTTTTTTTTTAACTTATAATTATATTAAAATGGCTTATCTTTATTAAGATACTTAAGAAAATATTAAAATAATCTGCAGACTTTCTCACTTAATGACTAACTTGTCTTTGTACATTATTAATTAAAGAACTATATTACTTAAAAAATATGAGATGTTCAATAAGCTAATTTAGACTAAAAAAACTAAGTCTAAACTAGGTACTTATATCAGATTTAGGGAACAATATTATACTCTCTTAGTAGCTTAGCATAGTGCCTTTAAGTCAACCAGTATCATTGTCAACAGTTTGTTACTATTAAAATGATAAATTGTTAAAGTTAAAACTGAAAAAGGGGAAAAATGAAAAACAATTCAAAGCCCTTCAAAAGATTCTTATTTTATTTCACAATTTTTTCTCAAAAGAAGTTTTGTCTAATTGAAATATTCTTTTTTATTTCATTTGGACCTTTAAAGAAGTTTTCTTTATTATTACCTATAGCATCAAATAATCTTCATTTAAATGTGCGCCAAATTGAAATAGTTCAAGAGAAACTAAAAGATCTTAGCTTTCACCTCAGAAAGTCTTTTCATTACTTGAGAAACTTATAAAAGAGTTGGAATTTCTTTGTGCAGATCCATCCATCTTTTAGTGTTATAACTGTTTTCTGGAGTCAAATATATACAGTTGAAGAAGAACTTCTTCTAGAACTTTCTTTTATATATTATCTATGATATGATAGGAATACATAATTGTAACCAATAGAAGCTTGTTTACTTTTCTAAAACCAATGTATTTTATACTAGTCAATCACCTTTAATAAGAATTTATATTATCCAAAATTTAGGATTAAACTGAGATAAGCAAAATTCCTCAAAAAATCATAAAAGTAATAGCTTTAAAAGGTTTACAAGTAACTGAGAGAGGAAAAATAAACCCTTCTGTCATTAAAAACCTCTATAAACCTTTTTCTTTAAAGGTGAAGAAGATCTTTATATACTTCACTATTGGTTTTTTTTTCTTTAGGAACTTTCTTGCTGTTGGTATCAAAGGTGTAACTTAACTTGTTATTGGCTATCAGAAGTCAAGTTTTTGATCAAAGTGAATTGTAAACAAGTAAGGAAGAGTAGAGATGACTCTTGAAGTTACTTTTCAAGGAGCTTTAAAGAAAGTGTTTAAGACTTTTTAGCAAAAAAGCAAAAAAAACTTCTTGCGAACATCTTTTTTGTGTATGGTCAGAGGATCAGTGGAAAGAGTTTTTTTCTAATTTTAGCTTTTTAATACCTAATATAAATATTAAATTATTATAATTTTGATCTTTCTTTTTTAAATATTATTTCAAAAAAAAACTTGATTTTTTTAATATTCTAAAGATTTTATTATTAAAAGCTGATTTTAATTTAAAAAAAAATGTAAAAAATTTTATCTGTATATTAATAATAAATCTCTAAGATTATTATTATATTTTAATTAGACTTGTGGATCAATAGTATAATAGATGTACTTCCAGATTATACCTTATAAGTTACTGATTCAATTTCACTTAAGAATAGTTTTCATAATATAAATTACATTTTATAATATATATATTTATCAGATATATATATACTTGTATACAAAAACAATCTATAAAATTATATTATCTAACTATATTATAATTTAAGTCATATAGACTTAATAAGTTTTGCATCAAGAAAACTCAAAATCTTATTATTCAAAAAATGTGAAGACTTTAAAAACAAGGTAAAGAAAAATCCTAATTAGTTCAAGCCTTAAAACAGATATAAAAAAAAATTTTATCTTTTATCAAAACTAAATTTTATGAAAGATAAAAAAAACTTTAGTCATTTATACCTATTAAAAATTTAATGGATCATAACAAAATTAATAAGAAATTATTTTGATTACAAACTAATAACTATCAAAAAAACAGCTATTATAAAAACTAGTAGTAAGCATTAATATTACATTGAGAATTGTAAGGGATAGACATAATTAGGTGAAATTAAATGGTCTCAGTTAATTAAGAAAAATTCTCAATAGGCTAGCTTGTAAGAGTAATTAAAAAAGTAGCAATAGAAGGCTATATGTTACCCAATTACATAACACTATTAAATTGCTGAAATATAAAAAACATAACTATGGATCTATATTATAAAAAGGTTTAATTAATTTGCTAAAGACT